GTGTTTATTTCACATTAACAAAGATAAATCCTGGTGTCAATTGTTCTCTTAGCATCCTTGAAGTGACCTATCCTGTTTTTAGTCATAATAATGAAACTTGCGGAAGTTAAATAGTAAATCAGTGCAAAGCTGAGCCTTGACTGCCTTGGAATCTTGGCACAGTGGAAACATCACTTCAGTACCTTTAGATGTAAAAGTTTTGGGGTTTTCATGCTTCTGCAAATAATAGATCTGAGGGAATTGGCATCATGCTCTGTTTAAAAAATCAAAACAAAATGCACCAGAAAGCTAAACTAAAAGCCATGAGAAGCAAATGGAAGGGAGTTGGAAGGTTAAGATGGGCCTGGTTTTGAGAATGAGGTTGTTTACTTTTGTAATTATTTCTAAATACTTTTGTCTTTGATTTGATCATCTCTGACCCCGTTCTCTCTATCACAGTTAAAACATTTCTTCATTTGCAGTACCAGATTAGGTAACTCATGTTTGAGTAATCTCAAATGCCTAGTAGTCAGTTACATAAGAATTGCATAAGAATATATTTGGAATTACCTCAGGGTCCTTCTTATGAATTTAGAATAAACCCTGACAGTATATCTTAAGAATTTCTTACCAATTCCATATTTTTTAGCAACTAAATGCCAGTTTTTGCAGAGAGGTTTGGTTTCATCTGTTTCAACCAACAGTTAATTCGATTTTGGTTTGGTGCCTGTAGGGTTCTTTTTGTTATGTATGTATTTATTGAAAGGCGATTTTTACTAGGGACACTCTTTATAGAAAAATGACTTAATTCATCTCAAGTTCTGACAGCTTAAGATTGCAGTCAGGTGCTCTGAGTGAAGAGTCTTTATTATTATTATTATTACTGCTTTTTAATCTTGAGTAACGACACTCTAAACCGTATTTTGGATAAGAATTATTCTGTGATTAACTTTCAAAAGACAACTTGCAAAATTGTAACCTAAAGTGACTCTAGACCATTTGTCACTGTTTATGTAACAGTGAGTAATGGGTCATCAGATTTCATTCAGGAAGAGAAGTTTAGTACTCATGCCAATGACAGCTTACTCTGATGAGAGTGGATCGGAATGCTATTCAATTGGGAGCCTAATTTTTAAAATTTAAGTCAATGACTCCAAAATGTTTATGTTGTTAACAAACATTCACTTGGGGTGGGTGGTGGTGGTAATTACCCTACAGCTAATTACAGTGTTTCAGTTGGGAACAAAGTTATTGTCTAAAATCCAATGCAGAAGAGCCAGTCTCAAAAGCCTCGGTCTTAGGTGTAGATTTGCTTAATGACCTCAAAAGATTAGGTAGCTTACCTCAAAAGATTAGGGTGGCTTCTTTTGAGAACAAGATTTTCCTTTTCCAGGTGCAAGGACTTGCCTTTTTCTACTCTGAAGTCTACACAGCATCAGAGCTGTATCCTGACCATTGCCACAGACTACACATGGAAACAGGGTGGATTCACTGAGAAAGACCCTGAAATGTGTGCACAGAAATGGTCACCTGCCTGCTCCCTAGTGGCACTCGCTGGAAAACTTAGTGGTCATCAATAGACTTTACCATGTTTGGGACTGAGACCAATCCTATATCCTCAGGTTTCAACCATTATCCTTTTTCAACCAGCATAGCAATTTTGAATTTGTGAACTGAACACAACTAACCTGTTTTCAGCTCATGCACAATGTGCCAAGACTTGGCTATGCCCCCTTTTTGTAGCAATCTACAATGCTACCCTTCACTGTGAGGAGCCAAGACACTACAAGAAGCTCAAAGCTGTTTAATGAACGACCCCATCAATGATGATTTAGCTCTGGACATCATTCGTGCATCCTCATTGTGAATGTCTTCCTAAAAGCAAACTGCGACCTGGGACTTGCTGATTCAGCTGTTGTGGCTGCTTAGCAAGCAAGCCTCCTGAATCTTGTCTCCCACTCTCAGTGCTAATGACTACACCAGGCTTTTTATGCACTTTCTGAGTGCCAAACCACATTCTCAACTGATCCATCATCCCAGCCCTGAAATGTTTAAATAGGGGAAAAATCCACTTAAATGCTGACCTTAAATCAAATTGTTGTTTTACAGAATAAATATTACATCTTGGTATCTGGACACTTTCTATACCCCCCCCAAACTTCACATCATCAAACTTTAGGGAATTTTGCTTGCTTGTTTTTTTGTTTAAAGCCCGACAACATGTATTTAAAAATCCAAATTATCATCTTGTCCAAGAAGCTCTCCTTCATCCATGTCTACTGCAGGTAAAGAGTCTGTGGTAAAATGTGGCTCACTGACAAAAGCTGTCCAATGCCTGTTTTTGAACAACTTGTCAATTAAAGAAGGGCTTGACCCTACTGAAAGGGCAGTTGTCCTTGGAATTCCCACAGCTTTGATGTAGAGGATGCTTCTGACTCAGTGATATTCTCGGCACAGCAGAGTACCACATGCACTGGAATGCAAGGTAATGAAGAGCAGCGTCCTAACTCCAGTGCTTGGAAGAATGTCTGGATACATCGTAGCACTTGGAAAATACTTGTGGAAGTCAGCATTGATGGCAGTGCCAGTGTTCTGAGTTTCAGTGCAATCCTTAGCCTTTTATATCATGTAATTTGATGATTAACAAGAATAAAAAGTCTGCCTTAAGACCCTCACAGAAGAAAGGCATTGTTAACTTTACTGACC